TTAAATTACCTCATGCCACTGACCAAAGAGTCTGCATTACAAACATGTGCAAATTGCAATTTTCTTATCTAAATAGTACTTCGTCATTTTAATGGATAAATGACGTCAACAATAATTAACAAGTAATCTGATGGACCTTTGAGTAAAGGTGCTTTGACTTGACCCATTGAATTTATAACTCCAGATTTCATGGTGTAAGAAAAATTTCATCCTCGTAATTGACCCTATCGATTGATTTAATAAAAGTACATGGTGCATTTTTTTAAAGATTTTAGTGGCTAGCAATTTCCGAAAATCTTTGAATGCAGTATTATTTCTTCTTAAAAATAAAGGAATGTTTCCTTTAAGTAAAAATTTCTATCTCCAGTATTTAAAGTACTTTCCTTCCAAGTGGCATTACAAATTTCCACCCTGTATAATATAAATAGCAAATATTTAGATGTATGTACATGGACATTGGTAACATTTATTTTTAATTTTCATTGACAACTTAACACGAAGAAACACGAAGCACCGCGAGAGTCAAGCGAATATGTGTGTTCGTATAGCGCGCGGCGGGCGTGCACACATATAAGCCGGGTCCGTTGGTAAAGGTAATTCGCAAGGGCTAGTGAGAAGTCATTATGTATTTATAAATAATCATGGGGGAAAATCATTATTACACATCGGATTACCTAGAAATAATAATTTGTTTCAAATGTGTGGTTATGTGTTAATAAAAAACATAAAAAGTGTCGTGGTTCAGTAAAATTAGTAAACGAAAGTGACAATGTGCAAATGCAAAGAGTCTACCAGACTCTTTTACGAGTGAAGTCATTTTTGTATCTGCCAGTACGTTTTATTAAAAAATAGCTTTGGATTACATTTATCGTACCTAAGCCAAATCGGGGGCATACACCACGGGGGCGTAACGAACGGACCCTAGAAGCCGCTGCTATGTTTGTTTAAGTGTAGACAAAGTAGTATGGTTGTACTGTAAATGTGGTAGACTACACACGCCAGCATATCAAGCTACACATTGTCGTATCTTGTTCCGTTGCACTAGAGGCGATTTTCAAACAAAAATGTGTAGTCTGACGTGCCGTTGTCCGTACTTAAACGTTATATTAATATACCTAATCATGTATTCCGATTGAACAGAAGGTTATAACATTATGTTTTCAAGTGAAAAGACACTTTGGGCTTGTTTAATAAATCCGGTACATAATGTTGGAATTATAATATATTTCTTGTGGCGACACATTATATCATGGTAATTTATGGCAGTTGGCAAACTCCTTTCATAAAATTTCGAAGTAAGGACTTCGTATAATGATTGAAAATTTTATCCTCACGTAAGTGAGGATAAAATTTTCAACAAGAATTCATATCGAGATTTTAATACAAAATCGCGTTTTGTCGACTATCATGATGGGCCCTGGCACAAGGCACCTTTTGTGTTCGTTCTGGGATACTAAACTCTTCACGTTTCTATGACAACAGAGATAAGGCTTCATGAATTAGGTAAAGATTACCACGATTTCGTTCAACTAAGGCAAACGATTCTTTTATGGGGAATTGTATACGTTTTTACAATAAAATATTTCACACCGAGACAGTTGCCTCAACTGTACCAAGCACAAGTCCGGTCATGTATGGAGTACTGCTGCCACTTATGGGATGGCTCTGCTACTTACCAGTTCCCACCTTGGATTCAATTGACAATCGTGGCAAGAGGCTTATGGGTGACTCAGAGTTAATAAAGGTGAAACTACAAAGCCTAGAACACCGCCGTAAAGTTGCCTCCTTACCGGTATTCTACAGGATATATCACGGAGAGTGTGCAAGAGAATTGCTCGAATTAATTCCACCTTCCCCTTTCCATCATCGGAGGACCAAGGGTAGGGTGGAGTTCCACCCCTTTGTTGCTTGCACATTTATATGGCGAACGGCTATGGAGTGAAATTCCCTGCCTGCAGACTTGTTCCCTGGACGTTGCAACTTGGACCTTTTCAAGGCGAGAGTGAATAAGCATTATTTAGGTGTGCATGCTACATCGTCGACTTAATCGTCACTTTTCATCAGGTGAGATGGAAGTCAAATGCGGACTTAGTTTTTAATAATCTCTAATTTTGGCCCTAGCTTATGCTGATGACTTAAATTATATAATATATTGCGAAATAAAACCTGTAAGTGACTGCCGTTTTGCAGTGTGATTTAGACCGTATATGCATATGGTGTGTAACAAACAATGTGTACTTAAATATTAATAAATATCACGTTATTACATTCACTAAAAAAAGACTATTAATGAATACCAGTACAATATAAACAGCGTGGTACTAATGCGACAGGACAGAGTCAGTGATCTTGGTATTTGGCCAAACCATATTGTACCCAAAGCATACAGAATGTTAGGTTTTATTAATAGAGTGACTAAACCATTCCAAAACCCAAACAGTATGATAATTCTGTTTTGTTCCCTGGTCTGAAGCAATTTAGAGTATTGTTCAGTTATATGGTCACTCTTTTATAATTGTCATATTGAAAGAATCGAAGCTGTCCAAAGACGGTTTCTTCGGAACTTGAGCTCTAGGTTTGGAAAGCGTAGGAAATTGGATACTTACGAAGCAAGACTTAAGTATTTTAAGGTACACCCTCTTCAGTACTGACGTGTGATACTGGACTATTCCACATTGTTTATAATTATCAACTTTGAAATAGACTCAAGTGAGATCTCAAGCCACGTCTTGTTTAAGATTGGCAGTAAACGTACACAAATAACTTTTTCTCTGCCATGTACCAGTAACAATATAACGATTCTATTTTTCGCATGTTTAGAGCTCATAACAACTTTTCTAAAGATTTGGACTTACTCTCCCATAGTCGCTATAGTTATTTAAATATTTGTAAGGAGAAGCTGAATATGTTGGATATTTAAGAATGTCATTGTTTTTATGTATGTGTAACATGATTTTTTGCTATTGTTTCTAAGTGCAATTTATTTATTATGTTCAACAGTCTGTTAATTTGTAAGTACTTTATTTATTTCGCAAATGCCGTGTGTGGCTGTCATAGGAATACAAATTTACTCCTTTTATAATTCATGTTACCTTTAAGCACCTTCACAGTTTGTATTCTGTAGCTGTGCCAAAAATAAATAAATAATAATAAAAAAAAATTTCGGAGCATATATTAAAATTATCATTTCCTAAGTTTAAAACTTACATTAAAAGTATTTTAATTGATAAGTCATATTACAAAATTGAAGAGTATATGTCAAATAAAGATGTATGGAAAGACAACATGAGTCTAGATTCCACACAATTATGATTCAAAGTGTATTAGCATAGCATAGAAAATTCCATAGCATAGAAAAGAGCAATCCCCAGAGCAGTGAACGAGCAGTAGCTTAAAAAAATTACATTTTCAATTGTAAAAATTTTACCTATGGAATAAACGATTATTTAACTTTGACTTTGTTTTTGACTTTGATTAGCGATTAATACACATTGCAAATGAAAAACTTGTGGCTGACTGTTAGCTACGGCCATGGGATCTACAAAGACCCCGAAACATTGGGTTGGTTTAAAAAAACAAATATATATATTTATTATACATATATTCTAAGGCTTTCGTGGTTATTCACTAAATCATTATCACCAATTAGGTACAAATTTCTGACCACGATATGATTTCTTTTTATTTTCCCATTTCGAAACAGTTATACGGTCCATGGTTACGGGTTGACTGGCCAGCGGCAGATGACAGCTTTAAGAACAGACATATCTGTCTACCCCTTTCGCTGTCGACTACCACCCTCATCTCGGTTATTTAGTGGCGTTACCATTGTCACTCACTTTTTTCCAACAAACTACACTCACTGTGTCCACACGCGCAACTAAAGTCAAACTATTTTTGTTTTTATTATTGTAAGGACTAAGAACCGGATTCCACGCACTAGATAGTTTAAATCCATCTTCACGGTGAAACGTTTGGTATTTTGTGATCTCGATGGCTTCTCGTACCAAACGTGGTATGTAATGACGTTCCTTCGACAGTACTTGAGTACTTTGCATCTCGATCCAGTGCTTAGTGTCATTTTCAATCATAGCCAACTGTTACGAACGGTTACCATGCCGGACTGCCGCCTAGAGGTCCTTGGTTCCATTCGGGCCGGGAGAAATATTTCTGTGACCTACATTTATTTCTCTCGTGAGTTTGGATGTGATTTGTGGTTGTCTATGTGTGTGTCCATGGCACCCGCGACAGGGTATCCCTAGTGCGGGGCATGTTGAATATGTGCGTTATAATATTATTTTGTATATGATAATATCGCGAATATCATCATCTTTTCAGCCGAAACACTTCCAATGCTTGACACAGACCGCCACATCGACCGGTCTAGCGCTACTTGTATCCAGCGCTAGACTGGTTCGCCTTGAGCACTCTACCCACTTTTTTTTTGCCATGTCTCGAATACGTACGCGGTCGCCACTCGAGAACTCTTTGGCCTAATTTGCTATCTGTTCTGTAGATATTCTATGCGCTGCGTGTATGTAAGCGTGTGGCATTCGTTTTTAAAGCCGCGTGTAAGCCTAAGCGACAAAACCCGTACCATGGAAGAAGCAGGACAAAAGCGGACAGCGGGAAGCGTGGCGGCTCTGGCTGGTATGGGCGGACGGAAAGATGTAGTTTTATTACTACTACTGTTTTTGTTTACTGTACTAACCGGGTTTATTTGGTTTTTTAGAGATAACTTTGGATTTTATTTCTATCGAGGAAAGTACAGGTAATGTTGTTTCTAAAGAGCTTGGTTTTTCTTGAGCATGGTAAGAGGGTGAAGACTGAAATATCTTATATATTAATTTCGTAACTAAAACTTTAATAATAATGTTACAGCAAGGGATCAAACGAACACAATTATTTCTCAATTATGTATCTCTGCCTTGGTGCAGTCGTAAGGACACATGATTGAGATCCAAAAAAAATAACTCGATTTTTTATTAATATTACCTTACCTGATAAAAGCGATCCGGGCAGGGTTGTGCGAGGAGTCAGGGGCGACTGTGCGGCAGAAGAGCGGAAACTCGGAGCGGTCACTTAACGCGGGTGATGTTGATCCAAATGACACCTGATGAAGACATTGTATAGTTATATTTATTTACATAACGGTAATTGATATCTAATTCGTTCACTTCTAGAATCTTCCTTATCGTAACTAACAATAGCAGTATAGATCCGAGTGAAAGAGCTCGTCCAGGGTAGTACTGCCACCTTATCTATTTCTGCTGCCAAGCAGAAATGTGAGCATTTCTGCGTTCCAGTTTTGACGGGTAAGGATGTTGGTATAATTACAAGCACATGAGACGACATGTTCGTCCCGTCATTTGGTATCATAAAAAAAACATCGTTGCAGCATGGTAAGCACACACTCTCTCCATAAAAGAAGGTCCCAGGTACGATTTCCGATGACATTACGATACTATTAATAATATAATAACCTTCATTAAATGTGGATACTAGTATTCTACAGTTTACCCACCTCCCCGACTACTTATTGTAGTTTGGGCTCATTAGATGTAAATATTATTAAATACGGACCTTTGAACGGACTCTCTGGGACATCGAGTATATCACCAGAAACAAAGACGCATGAAGCGAATGAAGCTTCTTTCTTGTTATTGTCTTATGATTTGGCCAACTATTACTAATTTGACAGCATTGTCGAACGTGAATAGATCCACAGATGTGAACAGATTATGAATTATGATAATCAATGTAGTCACGGTACAGAAAACAAATTAGTTTTAATGAACCAATCATCGAGTATACATAACCAGAAATAGAGACGAAGGGCCATCCGTCTTTGGCAACACATCAGAAAAATGGTCCTTATATCACTTTTAAATATCAACTCTCGTTTGCGCTGAAATCACAAATTAGAAAGCTGAAATAGTACAGCGTCAACAACTGACCTTTGTGTAAGTCTTCGTATATTCCAAAAATATTCTGTATTTATTGTAATAAAAACAATATCTCTAACTACGGGGGGCGGTTCCATTCCGTGGTGTGGGGAAAAACAGCAAAACATCTAATTACAAAACAAACGGAATCACATTTCATCGGTAATTTGATATGTAATTTTTCAATTTTCGTCCATTATAACAAAGCTTAAGTTAAACTGGTCTGTTTGAAGTGAAACAATTGACGAGGCCTATCGAAGCGCTGTTGTCACCGTAATGATTTGGCAGAATAGTTTTCAAACAAATTAAATGACATTTCATCTCTGTTTCTGGTTATGTACTCGATGCTCTGGGATTACCAGAAATACGACAGTGGTTATGTGGTTTTGTGCTGGTATTACTGTCTACATAATTTCTTCCTATAACTCGACAAGTCCTTCGAAAAGTTATTTAGTAGCATTACAGCCTAGATGTTTTCGTTTCACTTTGATATATATTTATGAAATGATCAAAGGAATCTCGATCCTTTTCAAGATTAAACTAAATCCATGGGAACTTATATTAAAAAAAAAACGAAAAGGTATTAGCAAAATAAAAGGTAAGTAACATAAATGATAAGTAATATAAATATTTCAAAAAAGAAAAAAAAGATTTTCTTAAAGCGTGATTGAGTTGATGATTTAACTATTATTGTTTATTAATTAAATTTTTATTGAATTGATATTCAATTATTTTTTGTGAAATTACTCCACTAGTTTGTTATACCGACCGGATCGAAGGAATTTTTTCTGAGTGTTTTTTCTGAGTGTTCGATCTTTGTATTAATAATTATAACAAACTAGTGGAGTAATTTCACAAAAAATAATTGAATATCAATTCAATAAAAATTTAATTAATACAGTGAATAGCGACATCTCTCGCGAGGACTGGTAGCTGTAAAGGTACTAACTGGGTGATAAATCTGTCATAGATTTCTCATAGATGGCGCTACGACTAAAAAGTCGTTGAAAGACCAAGTACCTACTAAGACACGACGCAAGCACACAGAAAAATTCGTGAGGTCCGTTGGTTCGTTCCGTGGCTTAGTTGGTATAGCGTCTGGCACGGTATGCAAGAAGACGTCGGTTCGAATCCGACCGGATCGAAGGAATTTTTTCTGAGTTTTCGATCTTTGTATTATTCTTTAATTAAATTTGAATAAATTGAAATCGTAGGGAGTCAAATACGTTGTAACTATTATTGTGATGCGTGATGATAACATAAGTGACAAAATACTATTATATCCCAAATAATAACAATAATGCATACACTCGTAGCCTCGTACTAAGGAAACCTTGTATCGGGGGTTCCACATACATAAACTACCACACACAGACAAAATGTACACCCGAACTCATAAGAGAAATGAATGTAGGCCATATAAAAATTTCTCTCGGACCTGCATGGTGACCTTTCGGACAGGCCAGGAGGCAGTATGCTATTTTTATTTCGGGAAATAGGTACAGTTTATTTTTACAATATCAAATGACGGGACGAAGAAGTCGTACGCCTGATGCTTCAGCTACACGCCTGTCCATGACAGTTGCAATGCCATTCAGAACGTTAAATCGCCAAGATCTGAGGGCCACTGCCACTGCGCCCGTCACCCTGGGACATAACTTAACAAGTCCCATGTGCCTGTAATTTCACCAGCACCTTCAAAACCTGAACACAGTAACTAACATTACTGCTTAAATAGGTAAGGTAGTATTTCCCTGGACGAACTCTTTCACAAGGAGTTTTACTGTTATAAAACTGTTAGCAATACTTTCGTGGAGGAATGCATTTCTACATTATTTTGAAAAAAGCTTACACCTGAAGCTATATACATTTAAAAATGTATATAACTTCAGGTGTAAGGTTCAGGGTTCAGGTTCTATATACATTTATAAATTATAATATATGTTAGAAATAATCTGTCTTCATTTGGTACTGTAAATGTTTCTGGCATCCCACTTCGCCGTACCGGTCATTTGAGAACAGTCCCTCGACGCATGGCACTTGCAGAGAAAAACCCGCGTGTCATCGGACCTACTTACTATGAGCGTTTACCCGGTACTCTCAGACTTGAACCGTCTGACGAAGTATTTGGGCGCCGGCTGAAAGACCTTTTCTTGAAAAATCCTATATACTCCGTAAAAGAATTTATGGACTTTAAATTGTAACGAATTCAGTATTTTCTATTTTTATTCTAATTTTTACCGCATTAACATACTCTTTTATAATTGTTATCAACTTATGACGATCCTTGATGGATAATGATATTTGATATATAATTTAATGACAATAATATTATATAATGAATTGTTAATTTTCTAATTATTGTGTGCTTTTTTTATAATTTTCCTTTTTGTCTGACGATCTCAATATAATTTCTTATACTTTGGTATGTAGTGCAATTTATACTGTAATGTTATATTTGAGAAATAAATGAATCTGAATCTGAATCTGAATGGATTAAAGACTAGTTTCGCGTTTCAGTGGCGACAAATTGAATTGCATTGTCGACGATCACAAGGGTTCTAAGCTAGTGGATGCGTTGCAGTCAGGAAAATCCAATTTTACCCCCGCTTTAGAGCCGTATACGTTTCTATAGATCTTCAGATGTGTGCAAAAGATCGGAACGTTCTATTTGTGACTGCGTTAAGTGACTTTGATCCGCGAATAGATTTTCTTCCGTAATTTAGTAAATAGTCAGAAAGTCTACTTCCGTAACAAATCGGGAGATTAACTTTTCTAAATTGGTTCTGAAATTTAGAAAAAGGTTATTTCCAAATTTGGTTCTATCGGGAATCGAACCCGGGGCCTCCTCATCCAGTACCGACAGTATAAACTGTTGGGTCATCGAGATCTTCAATTAATTACTGTAATGTTATTTGACTTCCGTAGTACACCAAAGTTCAATTTCCGTGAAGCACCGTATCCATGGCTAGGGTAATTAGATCTAATTACAGTTTCATTAAAATATTTGTGTCTTAATATCTCGAAAACTATTTTGCCTATTCTAATTTTATTTAGACATATTGATAGTTTAGCTTAAGGTTATTAATATTTCAATGTTATCGGGTAAATAAGCGAGGAAAAGCAATGGCTACGGTGGCAGTGATTAGGCTGAGAACATCGAACGTGAGAATGACCTGTGTTGAATATTTTTTCATGCACTTCATTTTTCCCACCCTTCCTCAGAATAAAATTATTAAAATAAATAACACAAGTGCAACTCAGTCACATATTCCGCTTCCATAAATATACCCGACACGTGTTTCGCCTATTTATGAGGCATTCTCAGGAGTTGTTGTTTGTGCGACACTCGGCCGAAGAATGACGTATATATGTCGGAGACAGTTATCATTTCAGATGTTGTGTAATGGAATTCGGTTCATTGTTTACGTGACGTGGTTTACGAAAGGATAAATCTGAGCTATTATCACGTGTTGTTTTCTAATTATTAGAGAAATGATTTACTCGGCCATCTTCGAACCACAATAATTAGTCTCGAACATAGTTTCTTTGTTTACAATGTCATGTCAGATTGACAGCTTAGGGTCGATTTGAGTATGGTTTAAAGCACTCGAAATCATACTCAAGTCCCTGCCATTAGGGTCGTATTTCCAGTGCTTGTGTTTCAATTGCAATCCTGACTTGAGCATGGAGTAGAGTTCTAGAATATGACCCTTAGACTGGTAAAGTCGCAGAGGGGGTGGCGCTGGTATCGTTTGAATCTGTTCAGTTTAATTCCTTTACTTATTTTCCATCCTCTAACGTTTAATCAGTCATCTGACGTGGTCCTATGATAAATAGTCGTCGACAGGATTGCCATATGAAATTAAGGAGTAAAATGGATGGTCAATGCTTTATAAAACGAGCGCGCTGTTGACAAGATGTGTTTTCTCGTTTTAGTTACCTTGAAAATGAACAAGCGCCACTCTCTGTAAACTTGCCGCGTGACATTTAAAATCCATTCTAACCAGAGGGTCTAATCGTGTTTTCTGTCCGACATCCGGCCAAAACAAATATTGTCATTCTAATTCCTGTTATGTTGTGATATAAGCAGTTTATAATCCTTTGAGATAAAATAAATAAATCAAATATCCCCAGCGAACCCAAAGCTAAATCGGATGCTGTAGTTATATATCAGAGCTTACGTTACCTGTACAATGTTCCAATAAGGTACAATCTTGGCGATGCTCTCCGTGACCTCGGAACATGCTGTCCCCAGCAACATCACCATCCTGGATTCGCGTTCTGTGTAGAGGGCGTGGAAGAAACGGTCCACACCTACGCCTGGATCGCACTGTGGATAAAATAATATTGGTTACGATAAATTTAGATACCCCATGAAGTAGTCAGACATGACTTGGTAAGTGTAGCAGCGGGTCCACACAGATTCTGCCCTCGAATTTGCATTTAATAACATTCGAGATATATATTTTTTATATATACCAAAAAAACCATAACATAGATCTGCAATAAGCACATGTCCTTCGTGAGGTTCGTTGGTTCGTTCCGTGGCTTAGTAGGCATAGTGTCTGGCACGGTTTGCAAGGAGAGGTTTTGGTTCGGATCCAGCCGGTTTGAAGTGAATTTTGTCTAAGTGTTCGATCTTTGTTTAATAATTATAAGAATGGTTTAAAAAAATTGTATATCATGATGGTGAAACATCTTGACATTCAATAAAACATTCAATACCAAAAGGGTCTGCTCCTGTTCTTCGTCCGATGTCCGTCCGAAACAATTACCGTCTAATAAGTAATGAAGCTTCATACTTGATATTGTCTTTTGGTTTGGTCGAGAAAGACGGAGAACGGGAGCAGTCTCACAGACTGTGAATTAAGCTATGCGTGTTGTATTATAAGTTGCTTGAAGTCTTACCTTGGTATCATTTGTAATGAGATGTAATCTATATCCAGGCAGAAGACCCCGTTGGTTGACATGTTTGACTGCCAGCCTGGCCGCAACCAGCTCCGACATCCCATCCGCGCGGGGAGAATCACCGACAGACAACTCGAATAGCCCCAGGATCGAGACAATGCGGTTTGTTGTTGATTTTGGTATACCTGAGGATTAAAAAATATACAATAAGTTACCAAGAATCCATAAAAGAAATATCTTGCGACAAGAGTTTTACATCATATTTGAAAAAAAAAGTAAATACATGTTATTACCACATAATCGAATAGAAAATAAAAATTATTTTGTCTCATATACACAAAAAAAAATTTGTTTATTATTATAGTATGATTTAAGTATTTGACAGTAATTGTTGCGGATGTAGGTCGACGACGAAGAACGGGTGTAGACCCCCTGTTTCGTACAAGAAAACTTTAGTCAATGGCTCTATGTGAAACTTTGGTGATCGACCGAAAGCGAAGTTGAAAAGCTCCGGCTACAGGCCTGGCTTAGACTGGCTCAGATTACTGCTTGGCGGCAGAAATAGGTAATGTGTGATAAGGTATGTTGTGTTTCTTTTTCTGGATCAACTGAAAAACAGCATCGTAGCACTTTCAGTGAGACGACATTAAGCTGAATGGGTGTGATAGATTCCGAATTTATTCGTGACATAATTATTTATTTAACTTCTTTATATTTTATTGTTTTCATTCGTTGATATTATTATTAACTTGCATGAATGAGGCATGTTGTGCGTTCCATTTGTGTTAACAAAAGCTATATTACAATCAATTATTTAGTTTAAAATGCTTATTACTACTTGCAATATACGCATAACTATCAGATAAAAAAAAAAAGTTACCGATTTGATTTGGTTATAACAATTTAAAACAAAATGGCAACACTACAAGATATTGGTACGATTGTCTGAAAAAAAGGAGATGGAAGTGAATTAATGGGCGAAAAGTTACCTTTAGGAAAGACATACGTACTTACGGGTTTTAGAGGATTACGTACCGGATTACAATTAATGGACATTTCTCCTAAATTCTCTGACTTTGATGGTCGATTTTTTTTGTTAATTTCAGGAAAAACATTGAGAAAGAGAAAAGAAAAACAACTCAAACTCAAATAAGATTTAATTGGGTAACTAGATTCTTAACAGTTAATGACATATTTGATACACCGGATTCAGCTACCACCGACATCAGGATAATTTAACCAAAAAGGCGTCATTTTTGAGTAAAATAAAAAGGCAATAAAACATTCAATTATCTACATAAATATTTACTAATATGACTAACTATTAAATTAAACTTTAAAAACTAAAATTTATCTAAAAAGCGACCAGAATGGCGCAAACAATTTCACATTATGACCATTAATTAAAATCTGTTTTCAGTTTGGTTGGTCAGCCTTTTTCTGATCACACATAGTATTTCCGAATTTCTTAAAAAAAAATCTTCGCATACAGCTGTCTTGAAGAACATTGAAGAATAATCGTACAATTGCGACGATTTTTCTTACGAAACGTGCCGTACGACTATTCAGGTATGCGTGCAACACCTTCAGAGCGCTTGCACTGCCGGCAATATACTCAGAGGTAGGCACATGACGCGTAAGCTCGAGCGAGTGAAGAAGCCCTGCTCAAGATGCCGTTACTGCTGTCACGCAATCTACTCGTCATGGATGCCGCTCTTTTTCACATGATGGCTCCACCCATGTACATCGACGCAGTTTCCAGAAGCGCTACAGAATCGAGCAAGAGCATCCTGAATATATTATTGTGCACAAGTCTTAGACAACTGAGGGTCCACTAGTGCTTTAAATCATACTCAAGTCCTGACTTGAGCGTTGAGTAGAGATCTGGAACACGACCTTGAAGACTTTCTACGTGTAATAAGAGCAGTGTCATTTTAAGTTCTGAGACGTAATTAAATAATTTGCTACCCGCTTTGAACACAAGCAACTCACTCTCGGTTGAGCAGATTATTATTCCAAATGATTGTAAGTTCCCTAAATTTTATTCAAGTGACTTTTAATTCTTAAGTAGGTACTCGTACAGAAACGTGAAGTCCCCAACTACGTACCGTTAGTAGAAACAGTAAGAGTCTTCCAGGTAAAAATGATGCTCGTTTATGCTGATGGATTTCGTATACATCGTTATTCGTTCACTTAGTGTTCACGTATTTTTCGGCGCGTTGACTTGTAAAGAAACTTAAGCGATTATGGGCATTTTTCCAACAACGTATAGAAGATATATTTCGATTGAGACGTCTTAAAAACCATAATAAGACAAGTAACTCCATACAGACGTAGCAACGCGACTCGTATGAGTGCACGCTCGCCGCGCGTTTTGTACGGACGCACACATTTGCATAATCTCACGTGCACTCGTGTTGCATACCGCCAGTCGTCTCACGCGCCTTTCATTATTGAAGTGAAGCGGCCACTCGGTATTTCTAAAATCAAAGTGTAGGCATTGATGCACCAATCGGAAGGGAGTTGCCCTACTTGCTCTTATTATTATACTATATTATTCTTATGGCTAAATATCAGGCAGGATTATATACTGTATAATTCCTGTAACCTTTTCTTATTAATTTCTATTTTTTTTAACTACCTCCGTGTCCAAACAGTTATCTTGCCACGCAGAGGTTCCAGGTTCGATTCCCGGGCCGGGAGTAATATTTGTATGGCCTACATTTATTTTTCTCGTAAGTTTGGGTGTAATTTGTGGTTGTTATGTGTGTGTCCATGGCACCAGCGACACAGGGTTTTCCTAGTGCGGGGCTATGTTGAGTGTGTACGTTATTAGATTATTATTTTTAAATTGTATTGTTTAGGAAACAAATAAATTTTGATTTTGAAATCACCAATCTTCTTGACAATACCAGCGGTTTCGTAAAATTATATTTTAAGGTGAACGAAGTTGAGCTTATTTTACTGTGTCTAACAAGGGCTTTCAACATTTTTCGGAGTTCGTAATATCGCCTAGCACACAGTGTACCCCTAGATTTACAAGCATCAGTACACGTAACGGTTGTGTGGGATATTTTGTGATTTATGAGAATTAAATGCGTTCTTGATGAATCAAATGGGCTGGGTGGGGGTCGTTTCCTCTATCAGTTTTGTTAAGCTTCACAATAGTGGGATGGTCGTAACAACCGTAAAAATGGTTAATGTGTTTATTTATTGTTCAGAATGGATTTCTCTGCCTATAGTGGAGAAATGGAAACATAGTATTTAGTAAGTAAGCGAGGTTTTGTCGTGTTTATTATGTTTTGTAATCTATTCTGGATATTCAGCGCAATCATAGACCCCTCGACAAGACGACACGGTGCATTCAGAGGTCAATATACATTTGTATATTGTGAGATAAATTATAAGAGATTGAGGTGCACGAAAGGAGCCTACCCGCAAAGACGTAAGAATCGTTTGAATTTTGAATGACGGAACGGCAACACAACCCCGCGAGGTCCGTGACGTTTCTGACGGGTGTGCACGCACGTAGTGGCAACAGGGATGATCTTTGTTTACAAACAAATGCGCGTGTACAGTGCAATGTTGAAGGTCGTAGACTTGTAGAGCGTATTTATTTAGACGACAAGCGCGTTTGATATTTGAGTCTTTTAATGGAGTTTATTTATGTGTTTTTTATTACTATTATTTTATGATTATTTGTAATAATTGTTTAACGCATGGTATGTGTGTAAAGATTTTCTGGTTTACATAAATTACACTATTGACAGTTGTACGGTTATATATGTATTATATTGAACCTTGATTTCGGCGTTGATATGTTCTAGATCTAGTTTTATTTTGCTGCAGAAAGATGTTCTATTTCTAATTTTTATTTAGCTGTAGTATGATGTTGTAGTTCTAGTTTATTTTGTTGACGAGGTAGAATAGTATTACGTAGTATTACGACATTTTGTTAGCATTTTAAGTTAGTTAGTTACCAATATCTAAACTCAACATTTGTTAAAAAATAAAAAAGAAGATAATTAATGGATTAAAAACTAAAGTACCTACACAATATTAGCCGAAAAGGTTAGCCAGCTCAGCTTTAAGCTGAGCAGAGTCTCAGCACTAGTTTTCAGTTGAAGCCTAAGAGGAGGTAAATGGTTTCAAATACTTAACTTACAAATGTTAAGTATTTAAAACCAAGAGTAAAATAAAATAAAAAAACGAGAATATAATTATAATTAAAAATGATTGTATAAATGTGTATTATGCTTTTAATGAAGCTATACATTACAATATAAAAAATAAAAAATATTCACAATAATAATGTCTGAGAAATAACGGTAATAATTGAGTTAAACAATGAGTGATCAATAATTGTTATATATATGATAGAATAATTTTAAATTAGATGGAAGCTGTCGCCGTTTATCTGTTCTATCAATGTTATTTCCTTAATTTTTCTACGGAAGCCCGATACAGAAACTGCGTTGCGAGTAGGAGGCGGTAGATCGTTCCAAGTCTTTGTTGCGGCGTATTTAAAACTCCCCTGAAATGCTGCCGTTCTAATGCAAGGGAAATTTGATGGAGTCGAGATCGTGACGACCTTTTTAAATTTTCGAACAGGTATAGCGGTTTTCCACGTTTTATTATGCAAAAAACGAGAGTTGCAAAATGTATGTATCGGCATGACAACATATTCAATAGTTTTTCTCGAACTAAATGAGGTGACATGATTCCTAGGCGGTATTGTATAACAAAATCTTAGGCACGCATTTTGAACACTGCTTTCGTTATATATATATATCGCTCGTTTGCCAGAACAACGTGTTATTTATATATGTCGATGTTTTACAGTTAACACGTTGTTCTGGCAAACGGGCGATATATATATATATATATATATATATATATCAGTAAATTTGGGCAAAACTAAGGATCTAACCTAACATCAGGCTATCTATTGTGGAATAATGAATTCTACCTACAAA